GATGTATGACTGCAGCTTAGGCCTGCTCCCCGCTGGCAAGTGGACATCCCCCGAGGGTTCCCGGGCTGCCAGAGGGATGTCTCATTGCCAGCTTAGGCCCAATCCCCCAGGGAACGGGCCTAAGTCAGCAGGTGGTCATTCCCCGAGGGGTCCCAGGCTGCGAGAGGGCACAGGCCGGGCTGAGGGACCCCCTGTCCGAGTGCACAAATCTTTGTGCACCAGGCCTCTAGTATATAGATAATGAACTCACATTATCTATATATATAATCCCATTTACCATTACAACAAAAATATTAAGATACCTAGGAATAAACTTAACTAAGGAGGTAAGAGAACTGTACTCAGAAAACTACAGGAATTTGAAAAAAGAGATAAAGGAAGACATAAACAAATGGAATAATATTCCATGTTCATGGATTGGTAGAATCAATAATAATTAAAATGTCCATACTACCCAAAGCAATCTATAGATTCAATGCAATCCCTATTAAATACCAACAGCATATTTCACAGACCTTGAACAAAGTCTCCAAAAATTCATACGGAATAAAAAAAAGACCTTGAATAGCCATGGCAATCCTGAGAAAGAAGAACAAAGTTGGAGGGATCACAGTACCAGATATCAAGCTATATTACAAATCCACTGTTCACAAAACTGCGTGGTACTGGCACAAGAACACACATGTAGACTGCCGGAAGCCGGTCCATCCTTGCTGCTTGACACAGTTGCTGCAGGAAAGAAACATCTGCACAGCATATGTTTCAAGGGACCTGGCGTATATAGCATACTGTTCTTAATATGTTTGCTCCCCTTAGCGCTGTGTGTTTTAACCAAGGTCACCTCTCCGAGAAAGCTTGTTTCCCCAGGTAGGGATTTTTCCCTGAAGTCAAGAAGGGGATAAAACTCCTTAACTAAGTGCCAGGCGGGTAGTTAATCACTTTAACTACAAACAATCACGCTTAAGCTACATAATCTTTACTCCCTGGAATGGAGATAAGAAACGCCCTAACCTTTGCAATAGAAATTGACAGGATTAAAATCAACTGGTATAAATACGGATGTAACAAGACAATAAACACCAGAACTTCGCTGGAGATCCAGACCAGAACTTGGCTGGAGATCCTGGCTAGAGATCCTGGCTAGGCTGCTGATCAACTGAACGCTGTCTCTGTGTCATTCCTTCTTCGCCGACTCCGTCCACACCTTTGGGAACCCCTGGACCTGCTGGGGTCCGACCCCAGCAGTAGACCAATGGAACCTAACAGAGAACCCAGAAATCGACCCAAGCCATTATGCTCAATTAATATTTGACAAAGGAGGCAAAAGCATACAATGGAGTCAAGGCAGTCTCTTCAATAAATGGTGTTGGGAAAATGGAACAGATATATGCAAAAAAAAAAAAAAAAAAAAAAGAAACCAGACCCCCAACTTACACCATACACAAAAATAAACTCAAAATGGATAACGAATTTAAATGTAAGACGGGAAACCATAAAAATCTTAGAAGAATCCATAGGCTTCAAAATATCAGACATATATCATAGCAATATCTTTACCGATACAGCTCCTAGGACAATAGAAACTAAAAAGAATATAAACAATTGGGACTACATCAAAATAAAAAGCTTCTGCAAAGCAAAAGAAACCATCAACAAAACAACAAGAAAGCCCACTGTATGGGAGAACATATTTGCGAATGTTATATCCAATAAGAGTCTAATCTCAAAAATTTATAGGGAACTCATACATCTTAACAAAAGGAAGATAAACAACCCAATCAAAAAATGGGTAAAGGATCTAAATAGACACCTTTCGAAAGTGGACATACAGAAGGCCAAGAGACATATTAAAAGATGCTCAAGTCACTAATAATCTAAGAGATGCAAATCAAAACTACAATGAGGTACCATCTCACACCTGTCAGAATAGCTATCATCAACAAAACAACAAACGCCAAGTGCTGCCGAGGATGTGGAGAAAAAGGAACCCTCATGAACTGCTGGTGGGAATGCCGACTGGTGCAGCCACTGTGGAAAACAGTATGGAGTTTCCTCAAAAAATTAAAAGTGGAACTCCCATTTGACCCAGTGATCCCACTTCTAGGACTATATCCCTAGAAAACAGAAATACCAATCAGAAAGGATGTATGCACCCCTATGTTCATAGCAGCACAATTTACCATAGCTAAGATTTGGAAACAGCCTAAGTGCCCATCAGTAGATGAGTGGATTAGAAAACTGTGGTACATCTACACAATGGAATACTACGCTGCTGTAAAAAAGAAAGAGCTCTTACCATTCACAACAGCATGGATGGACCGGAGAGCATCATGCTAAGCGATATAAGCCAGTGGGAGAAAGATAAATATCACATGATCTCACTCATTTGTGGAATATAATGAACAAAAATAGATCCAGAGACAGAGAAGCATCCAACAGATCAAACCTCAGAGGGAAGGCAGGGGAGAGTTGGGGGAGGGGGGTGTAAGAGATTAACTGAAGAGATTTGTATGCATGCATATAAGCATAAGCAATGGACACAGACACTAGGGGAGTGAGGACATGTGCTGGGGGGTGGGAGTGCTGGGGAGAGGTCAAGGGCGGGTGGAAGGAGACATGTAATACTTTAAACAATAAAGCATTAAAGGGGGGAAAGAACAGACAAGCTATAGTTATTCAGATTTGGGTGGTTTGGCAAACCCTTTATCAAATACAAAAGTAAACCTTTCACTTCAGGGAAACAACTGACAATATCTGTTGCTAATGATAAAATTCAAGCTTTCAAGCGTAAACAAATAGAAAGCTTGTTTGTACTACCTTGAGTTTAATAGCATCCCAACAGCTAAACTCTCTTTACAAAAATGAGATAGGTGGTGATATCAATGAATGTGTTTTTGATATTATGTAATAATATGCCATTTTATACTGTGTAATGAGATTGCCAATGTAAACATGTGGAAGAACTGCATAAATCACCAAAGTAACATTTTCCAAATGACCAATGCCTAACTTATAAAATCATACATGGGTAAAATATCCAATGGAAAAGCAAGACAGACAAATGGACTTTAAAGTAACAGAGCACAAAAAAGTTAAGCAGAAAAGGCAATTAAAATATTCCCTTACCACTGTATATCTGTGAGACACCTGATTTTTCATATACATCAGATAAAATAACAGCACAACAGTCTGGTTGCTGAAGCCAAAATGAGAGTCTAGCTATTTTCTTTTTCTTTTTTTAAAAAGTATGTTTTTATTGATTTGAGAGAGAGAGAAGGGAGAGGGAGAGAGAAACATTGATGTGAGAGACACATAGATCGGCTGCCTCCCACATGAACCCTGATTGGGGATCAAGCCCGAAACCCAGGCATGTTCCCTGAAGGGGAATCGAATTGGAGACCCTTCTGTGCACAGGACGATGCCCAATCAACGAAGCCACACTGGCCACGGCAAGAGTCTAGCTATTTTCTGTTAAGCCAGATATTGGAGAAATTTGGGAAAATGTAAAATAATTCCACTATTCCTGCTAATGGGGGGGCAGGAGGGGGGTGGGAATATAGCTGTTTTTAACTAAAGATATTATTATATTCAGAAGTAATGGGTTATTTTTAAATTAATTAATGTTTAAGATTTCCTCAGCTTTAATTTCTGATACGTTAAATAGCACAGATATACATAAACAAAGCTCTTTTGAGGTAAGGGTATAAAGGCATCCTGAGACCAAAAAGATTTGATGATTGTTCCATAGCAATATTATACTGACCTTTCCATAGGGCAAGTTGGCAAATGACATTTTATACTACTTCTGAAGTACAAAGGGCAAAGATGTCTTCTAAGCACATAACAAGGCCGTTAATTAAATTTTTTCCACACTGCATTAAGTAGATGTCACAAAGGAACCAATTCACCAGAAGTGAGGGGCAGTGGTAAAATGAGAAAAATGATCTGGATTCCAGCGCAGACCCTACTGGTCTCTCCAGACATTAGCCTTCCCATCTACAAAATGAGATACCAGCGTAGCCTATTTTCAGATTGCTTCCAATGGTCAATTCCAGGGTTCTAATCAGGGACCCTTAGATGGTGGCCCACCGCTGCATCTGGCCTTCCGATGGATGGGCCCTCGTGGTGTTTTGAGAGGTGCCCCCAAGAAAGTAATTGGCAGTAGCCGAGTGAGAAGCTTCCCTTTCAGAAGGACTGATTTTCAGTCACAGCCCAATCCAGCCCACTAGGCTTGCCCTTGCAGATATCTGCATTTGCAGCATCTGAAATGAAGGGCCTCTAAAGCAAAGCCCCTTCCAAACCTCAAACTGCACAATTTCAGCTCCGGAGACAGAGTTTGGGTTCCTTTCTCACTCTGCCCCTTGCTGGCTGGCTGGACGGGAGCAAGTTATTTATTTAACTTCTCTGAGCTTCAGTTACCTCATTTGCAAAATGGGATTAACAACACTCAACGCAAAGGGCTATTACGAAGCTTCGCGAGGTGTTGCTTGCCAGCACTAACAGAGTCCCTGGCGCTGAACATCACTATTAACATCGAGGCAAAGAAGAGAGCATTCCCCGGTCTCCGCCCGCCCCTCCCTTACCAAGTCCCGTTTTCCAGTAGGTTGACTGCCCGCCCCATGAGGAGGTTGCCGCCACACCAACTCCCATATCCCACAGTGCACATCCTAGGACACACAAGAGCCTCCTCAGAGGTTGACTTCTTTCCCTACCCAAACCCCTTCACTGAGCCCCCGGCCAGTCCCGGGTTCCTACGCGACCACTGCTCGACAGAGGCAAACACTGACCACTCCCCCAGCCTCTCTCCCCATCCCGGACCACTAAGGCTTCCCTTCCCTCAGACCCCAGACCACCTTGGGTCTGGCAGTGGTGGCCAGGGGTCTGTAGCTTGGCATTCTGCCCCCCCCCCCCGGGGGGTGGGGGGACGTGGGGGGAAGGAAGCCTGAGGAGAGATGGGAGAATAACTCCTCGACCTCCCGGAGGAGCCAACGAACACTCACCGTCCATCCCTAGAGGCGGTGGTTCCGGGTGCTGAAACCGGAAGCGGTCTCTGCACTGTTTGCAGTTCCCCTGGTTACTGCGGGTTTGCGGACCAATGGCGGCGGAGCTTCACTGGCTGGGCCCGCCCTCTAAAGGGATGACGTTCCGTAGGCGCTCTGAAACTCCTCCTCCGATCGCGGGGTCTGACCCGCCTCCGAAGTGGCTCGCCGTCGTGCGCAGGCGCGCTGGACCGGGGTCCTCGGCAGCGAAGTGCGCAGGCGCCCCGGGCGCTACTAACTGAAGTAGCAATGGACGCGCTAGAGTCGTTGTTGGACGAGGTGGCCTTGGAGGGGCTTGATGGCCTGTGTCTGCCCGCGCTGTGGAGCCGCCTGGAGACGCGCGTGCCGCCCTTCCCGCTGCCGTTGGAGCCCTACACGCAGGAGTTTCTATGGAGGGCCCTCGCCACGCACCCGGGCATCAGCTTCTATGTGGAGCCTCGGGAGCGACCCGACCTCCAGCTGCAGGACCGGTCAGCGGCTCGGCCTGGCGGGCGCGGGCGGGCGGGCGGGCGGGCGAGCGGGCAGGCCGGCCGGCCGGCCGGCCCAGAGCCGGGGTCCGATAGAGCCAGAGGGGACCAGGTTGTGATGGAAGGAAGGTGGAGAAAGCAGTGGAGCCGTCGGAAAACCGGGGGTCAAATGGGGGTGGGAGCTCTGTGTGAAGCTGATTTGGGGTCCCTCAAGCCTGGCAGGGCCTGGATGACTGATGGAGTTGGGGGGCATGGTCTGATGGATGTGGGAGTCGCCTGCTGATGTCCCATTATATCGGTGTGTGAGTTTGGGGTGATGGTGAGCAGGACTGGGGGGATAGTATGCCAGCTTCAGAGAGTATTTCCTCTAGAGTGGAGGGTAGGATTGGCGTGGGAAAGCGGTTCAGGCCAAGACTAGAGGCAGGTCCTGGCGGGTAGTCAGTGGGAGAAAGCGTCGTCCCCATATGTCCCCGCCAGGGCACATACAGGAATCAACAATGCATGCCAATGCGTAAGTAAGTGGAACAACAACAACTCTCTCTCTCTCTCTCTCTCTCTCTCTCTCTCTCTCTCTCTCTCTCTCCTTCCCTCCCCTTCTCCCTCCCTCCCCCTCCCTCCCTTCTTTTCTTTCTAAAGTCAATAAATTTTTTAAAACACTGGATACAGGAGGAATGAGATCTGTATAACAAGCTTAGCAATAATAATAATAATAATAATAATAATAATAATAATAATAGCTAGAATTTATTGAGAGCTTATTATTGACCTGGCACTATTCTAAGACCATGTTCTGGGAGCTTGGTGACTCTATGAGCTGGGTGCTGTTATCTTCCGCATTTTGCAGAAGAGTCGTGGAGAGAAAATAAGTGAATAACCTGTCCAGTTAGGGAGATTATAAGTGACTGTGTGTTGATTTGGACGCAGGCCGTCTGTCTTCAGAGTCTTTGCTCTTAAACCATATTGTGAGGAAGAGGAGAGGTTGTGAGAGGCACTACTGTCCAAAACAAGACTTGGGTTCCGTTGGCCAGTTGGCAGAGTATTCTGAACAGAGAACAGCAAGTGTGAAAGCCTGAAGGAAGAGAAATGAGTTGTTTGGTGGAAGTGTAGAACTGGAGGTAGGGAATGAAGAAGAGCAGTTGACACTTAAATGTATGCATATTGTGAGCTGGGACTGTCCTAAGATCCTGACATCTAGCAAGTTAATTTTTACAGCAACCTTAAGAGGTAGGTGCTATTATCCTTATTTTCCTGGAGAGAAAATGGAGGTGTCAAAGAGGTGAAGGGACTTGTTCAAGGTCATCAACTAGTGAGGGCACAACTCAGAATGTGATCCCAAGAAGCCTGGGCACAAAAAATACTCTGTCCTTATTAACCAAATTGGACTGGAGAAGTAATCAAGGGTCTTTTCATCCACTTAAAGAGTTGATCCTTTACCAAAGGACAGTTGGAAGCCCCTGAAGGGAGGGTTGGATGAGGGGCAATGAGGGAAGTGGAGAGGTTTTTAGTAATCCAGTTGTGAACAACCAGTTATGGTTTAGTTTACCATAGTGCGGTTGAGAATGAAGAGACGAGGTAGAAGAATCAAGAGCATTTGATGGCTGATTGGATGTGGGGTACAAGGAAAAGTGGGAGTCAAGGATGAGGAACCTCCTGTTCCTGGGGTGTGGGCACCTGGGTGAATGCTGATGCCCCCCTCGCTGTGGTAGGGAACTCAGAGGAGCAGCGCAGTGGTTGAGTTTGGGGGAGGTGGGAAAGGGGCTGAATGTACTCTGAGACACATTGTGGTTGAGATTCCTTTGGGTTATGCAAGTGGAGATTCTGTTTAGTCAACACCTGGCTTCAAGAGGAGTGAAAGCAGGTCAGAGGGGGAGGGACTAAGCTAGACATATGGAGTCATCCCATATGGCGGGTAATTGAAGCTGTTGGCCAGGATCATCCATAAGAGAGAGCGTAGTGGGATTAGAAGCCTTAAAACATGGCCCTCAGGTACACCTACATTTAATTTCATTTATTTATTTATTTATTTATCTGGCATACAGGGTAATAAAACCATAACTTTTTTTTTTTTAAATATATATTATTGATTTTTTACAGAGAAGAAGGGAGAGGGACAGAAAGTCAGAAACATCGATGAGAGAGATCGATCAGCTGCCTCCTGCACGCCCCACAGTGGGGACATGCCTGCAACCAAGGCACATGCCCCCGACCGGAATCGAATCCGGGACCCTTGAATCCGCAGGCCGACGCTCTATCCACTGAGCCAAACCGGTTTGGCAAAACCATAACTTTTGATGTTATCTTGTCTACGAGAGAGAAATCTATAAGTTAATGTGTAACTTTATGGTGTCTGGGATCTAATCAAGTAGTAAATAGCAAGTTTATTATTTTTAAAATCTTTATTGTTGAAAGTATTATATATGTCCTGCGTTTTCCCCCATTGGCCCCCTCTATACCACCCCTGCCCCTACTCCCCACCCCAGGCCCTCACTGCCCCATTGTCTGTCCATGGGCCATGCATATATGCATGCAAGGTCTTGGTTGATTACCTCCCACCCGGCCACCCTCCCCCGCTTCCCTCTGAGATTCCGCACTCTGTTCCATGCTTCCAAGTCTCTCGATCCACTCCGTTCATCAGTTTGTTACTTAGATTCCACATATGAGTGAGATCATGTGATCCTTGTCTTTCTCTGACTGACTTATTTCACTTAGCATGATACTCTTCAGGTTTCTCCATGCTGTCTCAAAGGGTAAGAGAGTCTTCTTTTTTACTGCTGCATAGTATTCCGTGGTGTAAATGTACCACAGCTTTTTTATCCACTCATCTACTGATGGGCACTTGAGCTGTTTCCAGATCTTAGCTATTGTAAGTTGTGTTACTGTGAATATAGAGGTGCATACATTCTTTCTGATTGGTATTTTGTGTTTCTTAGGATAGATTCCTAGAAGTGGGATCATTGGGTCAAATGACAGTTTCATATTTAATTTTTTGAGGAAACTCCATACTGTTCTCCACAATGGCTGCACCAGTCTGCATTCCCACCAGCAGTATACTAGGGTTCCCTTTTCTCCATATCCTCTCCAGCACTTGTCATTTGTTGATGGTAGCCATTCTGACAGGTGTGAGGTGATATCTCATTGGCATTTTAATTTGCATCTCTCTGATGATCCATGACTTTGAGCATTTTTTCATATGTCTTTTTGCCATCTGTATGTCCTCTTTGGAGAAGTGTCTATTTAGGTCCTTTGCCCATTTTTTAATTGGATTGTTTGCCTTCCTTCTGTTAAGTTGTATGAGTTCCTTATATATTTTGGATATTAACCCTTTATCAGATGTATCCTTGCCAAATATGTTCCCATATAATGGGTTCCCTTTTCGTTTTGTTGATGGTTTCTTTTGCTGTGCTGAAGCTTTTTATTTTGATGTAGTGCCATTTGTTTATTTTCTCCTTAGTTTTCTTTGGCCTAGACCAGTGATGGCGAACCTATGACACACGTGTCAGAGGTGACACGCGAACTCATTTTTTTGGTTGATTTTCTTTGTTAAATGGCATTTAAATATAAAAAATAAATATCAAAAATATAAGTCTTTGTTTTACTATGGTTGCAAATATCAAAAAATTTCTATATGTGACACGGCACCAGAGTTAAGTTAGGGTTTTTCAAAATGCTGACACGCCGAGCTCAAAAGGTTCGCCATCACTGGCCTAGACCGTGGTCGGCAAACTGCAGCTCGCGAGCCACATGCAGCTTTTTGGCCCCTTGAGTGTGGCTCTTTCTAAGCCTTAGGAGTACCCTAATTAAGTTAATAACAATGTACCTACCTATATAGTTTAAGTTTAAAAAATTTGGCTCTCAAAAGAAAATTCAATCGTTCTACTGATGATATTTGGCTTTGTTGACTAATGAGTTTGCCGACTACTGGCCTAGGAGATATATCCGTAAACATGTTGCTACGAGAGATGTCTGAGATTTTGCTGCCTATGGTTTCTTCTAGGATTTTTATAGTTTCACAACTTACATTTAAGTCTTTTATCCATTTTGAGTTTATTCTTGTGTGTGGTGTAAGTTGGTGGCCTAATTTCATTTTTTGCATATATCTGTCCAATTTTCCCAACACCGTTTATTGGAGAGACTGTCTTGACTCCATTGTATGCTTTTGCCTACTTTGTCAGTTACTAATTGAGCATAATGGCTTGAGTCGATGTCTGGGGTCTCTGTTCTGTCCCATTGATCTATATACCTATTCTTGTGCCAATACCAGGTTGTTTTGATTGTGGTGGCTTTGTAGTATAGCTTGATATCTGATATTGTGATTCCTCCAACTTTGTTCTTTCTCAAGATTGCTGTGGCTATTACAGGTCTTTTTAGGTTCCTTATAAATTTTTGGAGTATTTGTTCTATATCTGTGAAATATGCTGTTGGTATTTTAATAAGGATTGCATTGATTCTGTAGATTGCCTCGGGTAGTATAGACATTTTAATGATGTTGATTCTACCAATCCATGAACATGGTATATTCT